TGTATCATAAATCTAATATAAAAGGAAGCGTGTGACAGATCCTCTATATTTATATGATATGTAATTAACAAAAGAATCGGGCACAAACTCGTATATCGATATGTGGCGTATTGTTTCACTAGAATCGGACGCTCCGCCATTGAATATGGTTGAGGAATTAAATTTCATTGCTTTTCAACACATTTCAATGACATTAGAAACAAACATAATACAGTTTAAATAATCGTATTACATATTAGTTATTGTATATAATGTTTTCCTGATGATACTTATTTAGATTAGCTTTTGAAAGGCTCCGAATTAAGCCGTTACATACAAAGTATTTGTATGTAGTCGAATTCGTTCACGTGATCCCTTGAGAGCATGAATTATAAACATTAAATCGATACGATTACAATTCAAACCTTACATAACCCAGCGCTTTATACAATCCCCTGAAAGCTTGTCAAAAAAATGTATATATAAATATTTGATTTTCCGATATGATCAAAATTGACAAACAGAGCCGTCAATACAATACTGTTAGAATTGAGTAAAACAGTGGTTGTCTGTAGGCATCTCACCGTCCAGCCTAGCCAAAGCGGTCGATGCAGTAGGGGAGATAATCAAAATCATTGTAAAATGTTAAATCCAGAAGTACTAAACGGTGAGAGGCTTGGAGACTTTGCCAACATATATGAATCCTAACGCTTCAAAATTGTCATAATATCATACATAATTAAAGTGCAACTATACTCACAAAATACAAATCAATGTTTATAAATTGTAGATTCTGGAAAGTACTGGTACATAGTGCTCCTCGAATCGTATTTTTACTATCACAATTCACGTTATCGCAATGTAAACAAAATCAACACTTCCAAACGTTCACATGTGTTTACCCGAGAGATGATATCAGCATATTTAATTCATCAATATATAACCATGAAATGGTGTTACAAAGAATTTGCTTTTGGATATTTTTGTCAATCTTTATCAGTATAAATAAAAATAAGATGACAGTTAAAGAAGGTTTTAGTTAAACCTATTGTATTTTCAAAAAAGTATTACACATGACAACACATTACCACGTTATTACACATGACAACACATTCCCACGTTATTACACATGACAACACATTACAACGTTATTACACACGACAACAATGTACCACGTTATTACACATGACAACACATTCCCACGTTATTACACACGACAACACATTACCACGTTATTACACATTACAACACATTACCACGTTATTACACGTCACAAAACATTACCAAGTTAACCCAAATAACAACACATTACCACGTTATTACATTGTGCACATGACAACACGTTACCACGTTATTCCACACGACAACACATTACCACGTTATTACATTGTGCACATGACAACACGTTACCACGTTATTCCACACGACAACACATTACCACGTTATTTCACATGACAAAACATTACCACGTTAACACACATGACAACACATTACCGCGTTATTACACACGACAACACATTACAACGTTATTACACACGACAACAATGTACCACGTTATTACACATGACAACAATTTCCCACGTTATTACACATGACAACACATTCCAACGTTATTACACATGACAACACATTCCAACGTTATTACACATGACAACACATTAGCACGTTATTACACATGACAACACATTAAAATGTTAACACACATGACAACACATCACCACGTTATTCCACATGACAACACATTACCACGTTAACACACATAACAACACATTGCCACGTTATTACACATGACAACACGTTACCACATTAACACACACGACAACACATTACCAAGTTATTTCACATGACAAAACATTACCACGTTAACCCACATAACAACACATCACCACGTTATTACACATGACACCACATTACAACGTTATTACACATGACAACACATTAAAATGTTAACACACATGACAACACATCACCACGTTATTCCACATGACAACACATTACCACGTTAACACACATGACAACACATTACCACGTTAACACACATGACAACACATTGCCACGTTATTGCACTTGACAACACATTACCACATTAACACAGATGACAACACATTATCACGTTATTACACACGACAACACATTACAACGTTATGACACATGACAACACATTACCACGTTAACACACATAACAACACATTGCCACGTTATTACACATCACAACACATTACCACATTAACACACATGACAACACATTATCACGTTATTACACACGACAACACATTACCACGCTATTACACGTGACAAAACATTACCAAGATAACCCAAATAAGAACACATTACCACGGTATTACAGTGTACACATGACAACACGTTACCACGTTATTCCACACGACAACACATTACCACGTTATTACATTGTACACATGACAACACGTTACCACGTTATTCCACACGACAACACATTACCACGTTATTTCACATGACAAAACATTACCACGTTAACCCACATAACAACACATCACCACGTTATTACACATGACAACACATCCCCACGTTATTACACATGACAACACATTAAAATGTTAACACACATGACAACACATCACCACGTTATTCCACATGACAACACATTACCACGTTATTACACACGACAACACATTACCACGTTATTACACGTGACAAAACATTACCAAGTTAACCCAAATAACAACACATTACCACGTTATTACATTGTACACATGACAACACGTTACCACGTTATTCCACACGACAACGCATTACCACGTTATTACACATGACAACACATTACCACCTGGTTTATAGATTCCATCCTATATATGCAAGATGTTTAGGCGTCGAGTCCACTTAATACATTTTGTAGCACCCCTGCAGTTGGGGATCTGGGAAATAATATACCTGATGTTTCCGCTGCATGTATCGTAGGAGGCGACTAATATTGGAACCCCTTGCAGAATTTGGGATTTGCTTTGGTGTTCTCTAGATGGGGACACAAAAGCGACCACAATAAATCTGCTGCGCTCATTGCAATATTTGGGATCTTTATTTTTTCTACTTTTAACTACCGTTTATTTCCTAGGACCTTGCTTTTCAACACCTCACTTTTTTAATGTTTACCGTTCGCCCAGGCGAGGAAGGCAATGGGTTCTGTGCCTAGGCCGGGACATACCAAAGTCCTTAAAAATGGTAATTGTAATTTCCTGCTTGACGTTCAGCATGAAGGGGAATGGCAACAACTGGTTCACCCTTTGTCAGTTTAGTGTGACCGGGCGGAATGCTGTGCTTTGTGCCTTCGGCATGGCAGCGAGATAGCACTATAAAGTTGGCATCAGATCCGCGCTATCACAAGGAGGCAAGAACACCAACATACCCTGTCTCCTGCATACACACACGAAAGCACGCATACACATCGCACATGGAGGCACGTCCTTAAATGACCTTAGCTGTTAATAGGACGATAAACAATAATTAAACCAAACCGCTTAATAGCCTACGCCAAACATATACTGTCCTAAATACACTAGCCTCGTCTTCTAGTCACCTGACACAACTTATTAAAGAATTAATCAAATACATGTACACAAACAAACGTACATGGAGTCTACACTGCAGAGCTCTATGTGAATAATCAACTGTGGTACAATGGAACTATGAATTAAAAATGCATTAATTACAAACATATATCCAATTGTAGGTATCAAATAACTAACACAATTAGTAGAAATAATTGGACTCTGAAGTTTCTCCAGTGCAATATTTTGTTCTACCTATTCCTGGTCTGATTTTTTTTTCAAATAGCCTATCTTGTATGCCTGACTATCATTTATGCCTGATTATCGTGTATGCCTGACAGGCAAGCTACCCTCGCTTTCACTTCAGCGGTCGCGGGAGACCTGTTCGGATCATGATATATTTAATCCTATTGTCTGTCCTAGCATGTCTTATCTCTGTCACGACGAAGAAGAAATTGATCATAAATGAGTCCAGACGTCTAGCTATCTCGATGTCCTCTGAAAACGATCCAACACTGTCAGTGCAACTGGGAAGGCGTTTGCAATCACTTTTTCAGCGTCAACTACAATTTAATCCGCTAATAGATTGTATAACTGTGTAAATGTTTTCATTGTTTACTTGTTTACCACCTAAGCAACAAAATGCTTCAACTCTCTGTTACCTTACATTAGTTTACCGTATATATTACTCAACCGCTGTTTTCTTTCTGACAGAATCGTTTTAAAGTCGTTTTTTTAAGATTCGCTCTAAATGTTCAATCATGTAGTTTTCCATCGTTTTATTTAGTATTTGTATAACGGCTAAGATTATTGAGATTGTTTGGAACAGTTATGATAAATTATAACTAATAACATCTGATAAGCATGTAAATAGGAAAATACATAGAAAAAAATAGCATCGTCATAATTGCTGGTCTCTTTGTTGCTTGAACATGGATGGTTTGTTTTGTGGCAGGCCTCCAAGAAAGCTGGGTCCACGTCCCGAGGCTGGGTACGTTGGTGCTCAGTGCGTATGTGATCATTTCGGGGGTATGATTGTGGCGCGCTGGGCGTCATCGTAGCAGAAGGCTTTCACAGTAGCTCCAATTTGAGCCAACCTGTTTGCCGTGGGTTGCATCTCGTATTCCTGGGGGAAGAAGATCCTGGTAGCTGAGCAGAGTCGGAATCACTGTCAAACTCTTGATAGGAAGGAGACATGATCCGATATTCTGCAACATACTGCTTTGGCTTCGGACTCTGGGTAGACGAGAGGTGATATGGGCCCTCTATCACCAATCGGCTGGTCACGCCGAGCCCTTGGTTTACATACTCCCAAGAAGGCGGTGGCTCAGGGTCAATCGCGAGAGTATACTCTTTCAAATAGTATGTATATTCTTACGAGTATACTATTCTATGTATCTCCGACACTTGGCGCTGGATATCCGCGTCACACCAGTGTCCCCTTGTTGGGCTCCGTGGCGGGTGGAGGCATAGATCGTGAAACAAACAAATATACACATGGGTAAAGATAAAAACCACCAAAACGACGGACATACCAAAATCAGGAACGATGACCCTAGCTCAAAAACAACACAAAACGCAACACAGAACACCCAATTCCCGCAATTCCTTGTGATGACCTCCACACAGAGTGGTAAAACAACGGCCGCGTTGTCGCCACTTCTGTTGAGGAAGGGCATCCAGGGAATCGCAGGGGATGTGAAATCCGTTAAGCCATTGGGATCGGGCGATCTCCTTATAGAGGTTTATCGCCAACAACAGGCGATGAACCTACTCGGAACAACCAGTTTTGCCGGCATCGGTGTCAGTGTGAAACCACACTCATCACTTAATTGCAGCAAGGGGGTAATCAGGTGCCCAGCCTTGCGCAATGACACCGATGAAGACATACTGGCATATTTCCAGGAGGAGAGCGTCCCGGTCTCTGAGGTGAGGCGGATGGTGATCAGGAGAAACAATGATACAATCAAAACAAACACCTTCATCATCACTTTTTCAACGCCAACACTACCCCAAATACTAACAATCGGATACCAGAGGTACAACGTTTCCGTCTACATCCCAAATCCATTGCGATGCCGAAACTGTCAGAAGTACGGTCATCACGAAAAGCGATGTAGACGAAAATCGATCTGCCAGTATTGTGGCCGTGAGGGTCACACCGAGCAAAATGACTGTGACATCGCCAACCTGCGCTGTGTCAACTGTGAGGGGAAGCACGCTGCCTCTTCTCGCGACTGCCCTACCTGGAGCCAGGAGAGGGAGATATTACGGGTTAAATATACCCGAGGTGTCTCTTTCCCCGAGGCCAGGAGGATAGTCGGGAGTGCAGACATTGCTACACCCTCTTACGCACAAGTGACTCGAGGCAAGGCGCCGGTTGACAGTGTCACGGTCAAGGATGCTTCGGTTCAAGTTTCTGAAGACATACCTGCCTGGGGCTCACAAGTCCCAGACATGGCTGGTCAACAGAACTTGAAAATCCTCACGGGGGACCCATCCCGTTTCACGAC